ATATATATATATATATATATATATATATATATGTATTCAGATGATTAAAAATGCAATCCTAAGTGTCAGTCAAGTATATTTATACAAAAACTAAATGAAAGTAATGCTAAAAGACATCACTCCACCACCTGTCAAGTTGTCTCTATTGCACAACTCCTTAATCTATACATACTCTCTTCTCATATTAAATATGATCACCATAATCTAATCATATGAAAATACACAAAAGTAAGTTAAGGTTTCAAAAATGAACATATATAACATCAATTTATAAATAATATAGTACTTCACCACCCCTTAGAGTCAACAAAACATATAACATCACCATACAACCAGCACTATTAATCATGAACATTTTAATATACTACAACACAATATCAATTCAAAAGATCACTACATTCGCAACTCATGTTCTTCATCACAACAACATCGTATATTCAACACAACACTCATATTATCACATTTTTCAACTAAGTCCAACATCACCACACCATTAACATTTGTCAACTTTACATAGGAATAATAAGGTGCATTATCACATCTTATATTTAACCAACATCAAATATCACATCACATTCAATACTATCAACATAACCATTCATTCTACTACAACACAATGTCATAACATAATATCAACTTAAACAAACATAACATCAACAACTCAGATTTCAACACATCAACACATTTCATCACAGACCAACATCACATATGAAGACTTTGTCACACATTTCAACTAGGAGGTCTCCTACAATATAGGTGAACAATCTAAGTGACTTGACCTTATTGAATCAATTAACATAGATGATTTATTTTGGGCTTAGTAGATCATTAGCAAGTTTGGATATCAATCCACAACATAAAGAAGTTTTCTCAAATGTCACCACCTAAACTAAAAAAACTTAGTTCCATCATCACATCATCAAGACTAGTATAGTTGGATATAAGTGTATCACAACCTTGACATGCATTACCAAGTCACTTATGGAGTTATCCCACTAACTAGTTGCAAGGAATCATGCAACCTATCAAGTAATTAGTTAAGGGTGGTATTCATCGACTTCATACTTTACTCTACATCAATTAAGGACTTAAAGAAGAATCAATTTTTCACTCCAAGGATCAACTTCTCAATAAGGGTTTTCAACAAACTAGACTCTTAGAGCACCACAACACAATATCCACACAATGATATATGAAACTTTTAAAACAACATTTCCTCTAGTCCTAGATTGATCAACACAATTCAAATTTCAACACCATGCCTTAATGCCTAAAACATTCTCAACATTCATCATCTCAACAACACAACAACATCATGCATAAAGCATATTCAACACAGCTACTCAACTGAACAACATACAATTCAATTCATCTTTCAACTAGTATCACTCATAAACACCATCTTCATAGATCAATGTATATAACATGAGCAACATTTTAAATCAACATACAATTTTCAACTTTAGCAGCTTAAATATCATCATTCATCTTACAACTTATCATCATAACATCATAACTAATGTATCAACTTACAACACACAAATTTATCATCAATATAATTATAAAACATCATACTACTTAAGAAACTTACTACAATAGACGACTTGCAACATTTGACAACATTAGGCAACTTACAACAAAGGCAACCTAAATCATCATCATAGGTTAATATATAATGAACTACATTCGATCCTCATCATACATTATGTAAACAACCAACAACTAGCTCAAAGCTAGCCAACAACTAGCTCGGAGCTAGCCAACAACTAGTTCAGAGCTACTAATAACTAGCTCAAAGCTACCAAACATTTAACTTCATAGCTACCAAAACACCTAGCTCAGTGTTACTAACATCTAGCTTAGAATTATCAGACCACTCACTCAAAGCGCCTAACAATTCAATCTAAATGATTAAAATTCGTTCAAAGTGGCAAAAAATTGGTGTAAGTGACCTAAGTAAGAGAGCATTTTTAAATGATCACCCAAGCTCGCTTGGAGCGACCCACATGGGCACTAACCAAACAACCCATTCAAAATCAAGGATTCAACTTCTCTTACCTCTTGTAGAACCAAATTCATTAGAGGAGAAGAGGAAGAAAACAACTTTGAACCAAGCCCTCTAAGGCACAAACTCTAAATCCTCAATTTAACAACTTCGATTGGTTACAAGAGAGGAGAAAAGGGATTCTCAGCCAAAAAAAAAAAAAAAAAGATTTGCTTACTTAAAGAATTTTTCACAAGATTTTCTATCTAAATTTCTAAAAACTTGAGTTATGAACTCAAAATTTAAGGGAATCCCTTTTATACATTTCTTTTGTCGATCCAACTTAATACATAACACAACTTACATAAAAACCTAAACACATGTGTTACAAATATATTATTACATAAATTATCAAAAAGTATTATATATATATATATGTGTGACTTCTATAATAATTATGATTATAAAAGTTAATAATATAATATAATTTATTATTAAATGATAATATATAAAATATATTTAATTAAATTTTTAGGGTAATTATTAAAAAATAATAATTTTCACTTATATGATAATTTATGATTGCATTATACAGTAAAAATATACTTTTCGTATATTTCAATTAAATTATATTTTCTAGAAGGTTTTATTTTGATATTCGCACTTTTTGGTTACAGATTGCAGTGAAAACAAAAAAGAAAAGAAATAAGAAAAGGAAAAGAATGGGTTGCGTTTTGCTTCCATCATTTAATTGTACGTAATCAATGAAGGATTAAAATGGTGGATCCCATTAAAAAAACCAAAATTCTTTCTGACCAATAGCAAGAGGGAGAGTGTCAATTTATCCATTAGGCTAGCTCCTACTATGAGTACTTTTTTTCTTCTTCTTTCCTTTCCTGTCTGCAACTACACATTAATTTTATTTTCCCTTTATATTTTGACTACAAGTCTACACCCACCCATAACCTGCTCAGTCCCCAAAAGTTTTTCACAATTAATAATTAATAATTATTTAAAAAGAATGTAACTTGTTTTAATTTAATTTATCTAATATCATTAAAATAGTAATATAATATTAAGTTTAAAAGTACATTCTTAACATTTTCATTTTATTCTGTTTATTATACTTTATTTTTACTTAAAAGCATTTATATCGTTTGATATATATATATTTTTTCTATCTCATTTTCTTTCCAATCAAATAAGAAAAGAAAAAATTTCTTTCTTTGTATTTACTGGCACACCAAACAATTTCATTTTATATTCTCTTTCCTTTCATTTTTATTTTATTAACCAATCAAAGTGCTGATATAAAAACTTTATACCATTCAAAAAGTAATAATCTTTTAACATCTAAAGGTGAATTTGAGGCTTTATTAAAAAAAAAAAAAAAAAGGCATTATCACTTAGACTGACATTTAAAGGTGGATAGATATGTTTTTCTCCAAATATAGTAAAAGACACGCCACAAGTTTAATAACAATTTATATCATACTTCCATATTACTCAATAATGTTGTTGTTACTTCACGCAATTCTCAATAAGGAATTTACAATTGGTATCAGCAAGACATCTCCGTCCTGTCAAAAAATAAAAACAATAATGAAATCTGCATTTCATGTATGGCAAACAAAATTAGGAACTAAAACAAAAAGAAATCAAAGACGTTACTGAGAATGATAATGTCAAAAATCTTCCATGAAACATGATTGACAGAGATTTAGCACCACACTTGTCTCTATTTATTTAGGTAGATGATATTCACACCTCCACTCTCGTATAAACACACCTCCTTTTTTAAAAAATATATATAAAATGTCTAAATTACCCCTAAAAAAAATACACCTCCCTTTACCGCACCCCGTTCCTCGCATCCCACACCCCCTTCCCCGCACCCCCGAACAAATCATCATCATCAACAAAGGGATGAACATGAACCAACCTCTTCCTTGGTGATCTTGTTCTTGTTCTTCTCACTATTCCATTGGGAGGCTAACAATATCCCCAATCATGCGCACCACCTCATCCATGTTGGGCCTCTGGTCGAGCACAAG